GTTTTTCCCTCTAGCCTCTGCGCCCAGACCGGCTCTGGGCCCCACCCAGCCTCCTGTCCAATGGGTACCGGGGTCCTAAAGCGCGGCCGGGGCGTGATGCTGACCACTCACCCACATCTAGTGCCGAGGTCAAGGATGAGTAGGAGCTATACTGCCTCTCCCCCCAAGTGCCTACATGGTGTACAGTGGGACAGCTTTTTACTTTATAGATATGGTATTGTAGGTGCGTCATATTGTGATTTATTTAAATAGTATTAAAAATATATTAAAATTGGCCGTCAATCACAATATAAGATAATTAAAAGATTAAAATATCATTTTACGTTCCGTATCGAGTACTCGATTTACATGTGGAACATTTACGACATGTTTCGGCTATATATAGCCGAAACATGTCGTAAATGTTCCACATGTAAATCGAGTACTCGATACGGAACGTAAAATGATATTTTAATCTTTTAATTATCTTATATTGTGATTGACGGCCAATTTTAATATATTTTTAATACTATTTATAGATAAGCTTTGCCCTCAGAGGGACAAGTAAACCACAAACACATAAACTAGATCGACGGTCATACATTTGACAAACTGCGTCTTAAATGCCACCATATCATCACATCTTTGCTTCCCCGCTCTATTCTGTGGCTACGTGTCACCCCTATCGTCCAGTGATATTAAATTTAAGCTAAAATGACGAATCTATAGTCTGTAAATCCTTTAGTAAAATGTTCAGGAAGAACAGACCCTGGAGGCCTTGGTTGTAATTGCACGCAACAAAAATTCCAGAAACTAAACGAGTCTCAAAATATACGGTGCAACTGTGAAGTTACGGTGCGATTTTACGGCTTCGGTATTTGGTGACAACCAATGCTAGAAACACGTATGAAAACAGGAAATGAAAGACAGACTTCAAAAAAGTTCATCTGTGTTTCGCCCATTCATAACTTCACGCAATCATTGCAACACTCCGTACAGAACATGTTTATTTTCATGTTTCTAGCAACAGTCGTGACAAAATGCACAGTTTTAAAACAGCACCGCACATTCTCAGCTCACGCCGTACAGCTGACTGACCTGCAGAGATTGGTTGAAGCAACCGCCCACCACATACAGATCGTTATCAAGCACTGCCGTCCCAAAATTGCACTGCTCGACGTGCGGTATTGACGTCAGATGTCGCCACTTCCCAACGCTTGGCAGAAAATAAGTGATCTCATTGGTGATTCCTCCAATGCCAAAACCTCCCACCTTGATGACAGCAAGTTCCATTCCCCTGGAGTTGACGAGAGGCGACGTCTTTGACGCCGGAACCACGCCGCTATCTTCTGGCAGAGCGCAGCGAATTCTTCTCTGACGACAAGCCTCCGAGAGGACCAGATGGAACAAGTGTTGATCCTGGTAAGTCTGTCCAAGCAAAGTCTGCTGCTGCACGGCTTCCAGGTCCCATGGCGCGATCTCAGAGAAGTGCACACGGCGAAGTAGCCTCTGCGGGCATGAGAGCCGCTGCCCTGCGGTGAAAGCGTGCGAGTTACTGAGCAGCCACCTGACGACTATCTGCAGTACCTCTCCCTCCGGACAATCCACAGGGAAGTCGCAGCCTAGCAGATATTCCAGCTGCTGGGGTGCCAGGCGATGGAAGTCAGGAGAACGGGAGAACTCGCGAAGGTGGCCGCTCATGAACCGGTACACACGCTGTCGAAGTTGAGACAGGGAATATGTTTCCGCAATTGTCGCTATGTCGATGCAGTTCTCCAAGTCTAGCTGCGCCTGTGGAAACACGAAGAATACATCTTCCAAGAAGTCCGACAAAGACTCTCCTAAGATTGAAACCAACTTTGAACTCCACAGTAAATTTGTTTCGAACACCCTCTCACTTGTATAACATACCCCTTTTGCCCTGATCAGTCCCTGTTAAGATCTGGCACTGATGGATTTCTTCAGTCTTTCGTACCTGCAGATAACTGGAGCAGGCTTCAACAACGGCTACCACCTGGACGTGGTTTGCAGCCGATAAGACATCCTGGATGTTCGCTAGGTTTAAGGCAAGCCTCGATGTGTAGGCATAGTCCAGCAAGAGTCTGATGCCCGCGGCTGTAACTCCATTGAGGCAAATCTCACTCTGACGAGACTCGCGCATCGCGTCCGTGAACATCGCGCGGAAATAATCGCTGCACGATGCAAGAACGACACGGTGTGCCTGCAAGAAGTACCCAGAAATCAGAATATGAACCAGTTCAGCTTTCCTGTGGCCTTCTCAGTATGCCGGCAGGTAAGCTCTGGAACATTTTCTTAAAACATATCAACTTTATTTTCCCAACATCCAGACTCCTCATTTGTAACATTACAGAACTCCATGTGGTTAGTTAGTGTTTTTTTTTAAAAAAAATAGAGAAATTAAATGCAACAGAGCCGACTCTTCAAGTTCATTAGCGTGTTTACACATTAGAACACTAACTAAAAATTAAATTAATTTTATCGCAAATATAATAATAATTAATATGACTCAACATACAAAATATTCACAAAAGACTGAAATATTATTATGTGTTGTGATGCTGCAGCACTCCTGTTTTGTATTCAGGAGGGCTGAGGTTCAGATCTTGATCCGGGACTTTCCTACGCTAAGAAGCAGTCAGCAGCTCATAGCAACCTGAAAGGCCTCTCCATCCGCAACCAGAGTAACATCCAGCAACAGGCCCTTGGTTCGCAGAGCGTTGAGCCCACACAACAGAGTGGTCGTGTGCGACGGCGACTCAAAGTGGACCGTGTTCAGCGGCCGATCCTGCAGCCCCCATTCCCGAACCCTCGTCATGTTCCTGGTCACTGGTCTCAGGCTACTGCATCTTCATAACTCTGCAAACATAAATACATTTTAAAACAGATTTCACCACAACTAAATTCAATGAAGTCTTCTCAGTTACGGACATAGCGAGCAACATCTGGCACGAGCATGAAGATAATCTTCTCTTACTAAGCTCTTCTGGATCAGGGTTGTCCAAAGAGCATTCTGTGAGGTTACTTAGTCCAGGCCACGAGCCTGCAACGCAACTTTAATATTTTTATTCAGAATTTCTTTCCTTCCTAATGCAGCAATGAGGGCATTCAGAAATTACAAATTCCACACATGAAGCACCCATTAAATGTGCTTGATGTGGACTGCAGTTTGTAATATCATCTTCTTATTGTACAGTTTCATCCCATTCACGTCCGATCAATGATTCTTGTCCAGTGAAGAAAAATAAGTCACACTGTGCATTCAATTTAAATTCTTCATTAACAAATCATAGATCAACTAATTATTAGATCTTTTGCATTCGACAAATACTAGAGAAAATGTGGGAATTTAATGGGTCAGTTCAGCAACTATTTGTGGACTTCAGGAAGGCGTATGACTCAGGTAGAAGAGAGGTTATGTGTGGCAATTTGATTGAGTTTGGAATACGAAAGAAACTTGTTAGGTTAATTAAGATGTGTAGAGTTCGTATAAGCAAACTTCTTTCGGATCCCTCCCCAGTGCACAATGGCCTAAAACAGGGGGATGCTTTGTCCTCAGTGCTTTTTAATTTTTCTCTAGAACATGTCATCAGGACTCTCATAGGGAACGAGGAAGGGCTCGAATTAGATGGTCTGCACCAGGTACTATAGGGACTTTGCGGATGAAGTCGATTTGCAGGGGGGGGGCTGGTTGGGTACCATAACTAAGAATGCAGAAACTCTCCTAGAGGCCAACAGAGAAATGGACCTAGACGTAAATGCAGACAAAACTGAAGACGTGGGCGATCAACTTCAGCAACAACGGCGGAACACGTCATTTGAAAATGTTTCAAAATTGAAGTATCTGGGAACAACAATAACAAATAGAAATGAGGTTCATGATGAAATTAAGGGTGTGGGGGGGGGGGAAGGTGCTCAGGAGGACATTTGGGCCTAGGAGGGATGAAATAAGCGGGGAATTTGGAATATTCCATAACGAGGAGCTACGTGAATTGTCTGGGTCACCTGGAACAGTGAAATCTAGGAGGCTCCGGTGGGCTGGACATGTGGCACGAATGGGTGGAGAAAAGGGGTGCATACAGGATTTTTTGTGGGGAACCCTTCTGGGAAATGACCTCTGGATAGAACAAGAGGAATGCTGAATGAATATCACCTGATTGGCTACTTGCTAGGACATGCGCTGCCTCGAGGCACAAGAGTGACCTAACTTCTCATGTCCGTGATGTGGGCTACTTTTAATCATGCAGCCAAGGATTAATCGAGAGTGTGATGTTCTCTTGAACGTACTTAATTTTATTAGACCGGTATATGAAGCCTGGTTAGGAAATTTTCCTTCAGTAATTAATAACATAAACAAAAGATTGAAATGTATGTCACTTGCAATTTTATATGTTGTTCTACACTGGACAGAGAACTTTGTCTCAGTCCCTAACCCTAAGAGACAGATGCAGAGTTGGGGCATTTTTGAGAAAGATTCTTCATGATCTGTACCTTTCTACAAATGGAGGAGGAGACATGTAGAAGGCAAGAGAAATGGATACGAAACACACAAAAGTTCCAAAAGCTGCATGGATAAGGTCACTACGGAGAAGAAATCGTAAATGAGATGTTAGTATCAAATGGATCTAAAGACGGAATTCCACACTGATTTGTCCTAATATTTTCCTCACAGTTTATGCAAAAGACTGCGCACATATAAATCAGATGGAAGGATTATATAAAATAATTTACACAAAATAAAAACTTTGCTATAAGAGCTTCATTTGATTTAACTAATTTTCTGTTTATCGAAATGTCATTTACGGATTCCTCGTGTGCACCGCCGCCATGTTGCTTGGCAGTTGTAGCAGGCAGCCAACTGAAGTGAGGCCTTGAGCCAGGTAAAAGGAAGGTAATCGACGTGAAGCGGATAGCATTCGCCTTTCACAGACATTACCTCCACCAGTTATCCTTCAACAGTTTAACCTGTCACACGTCACATCTTGTGAGGGCAACGGCGACATTAAAGAGGACTCCTTGCCCACAAGCCCTCCTCGTGAAACTGACAGTCGCTCAGCTGGTCAACAAATCTCTTCTTTTTATGGAACCAAAAGGTCCATCGTGTTCCTACAAGCCCATCACTGGGCTGGTAACATGAACCAGACGAATGCAGTCTGATCCTCACACCCAGTCTCTTATGATCCATTTTAATATCATCCTCAGTGGTAACTACGAATAACACCAATTTAAAAATGGGTAATTCTCTCCGTTTTGCCAACACAGTGTATTTGTGTGTTCCTTATGATTATTCCAATAAACAGCGATTATTTCCCCAAACAGCATTCACCAGTTGATAGAAGAAACAGAAAAGCGTTGTGTTTAATTCACGATCAAGTTGAGCAAACACGAAAAGCAGACGTCCATTTTCTGTTATATTTTCAAAACCAATAATGCCAACATCAAGATACGAATTTCTTAGCACGTAACGCTTTAAAACTAGGGCATTTGTGAGTTGTCAGAACGACCTTGGAGCAGTACCACGACGTCCTGCAATCGTCTGAACTAAAACCACATCACGTGTTACAAACATGAAAATCAAGGAGGGCGAAGAGGGGGAAATGCATGAAAACCGCATGCCACTTGAAAGGTGAGTGGATAATATTAAAGTTGATCTTAAAACATCGTGTCAGGGCGTGGGCTATATCCAACTCAGGTCTCGATAGTGACCAGCATTCGGATCTTGTGAACAAGGTAACGGACCTTTGGGTTCCATTAAAAATTTACAATCTGAGCAACTGTCAGCTTATCCATAAGGCTTCTGTTCAACGGAGTTATTTATATTGCTGGCTTATTATTAGTTCGACACCGAAATACAAAAACACTGGTTACATTGAATTATGTTCATCAATCACCCCAAGAAAATTCCGAAACACTGCCTAAAATAGGTCACGACTGATACCTTCCATATCATTAACAATTCATCAACAAACTATCTAACGCTACATAACCTTGCCAATTGAAAAGCGTCGTTGAATAAACGAATACCAGTAGTCGCTCTTTCCTCATGGCGCATGCGTGGTACTGGAAGATGGACGCCTTATAATTCGATGATAACGGTTGTATCAACAGGATGCCTGACTTATCTGCCATAAATGTGTTCCGGCAATCTTATCAACTTCAGGACTGGAGATCCGTTTCCGTTTAGCCCACTCACGGACCACGGAGATGAGTGGTCAGGTACATGCTCCGTCCGTCCTTACCGACTGACCTCTCGCAGATCGTTTTACGCAATTCGTTTTTGTTCAAAATATGACACCGAGGGGGCGACACTTGTGCTGGGAGCGACAGCCGACAAACTTCTTCCGGATTCAATCTGATTACCAAATGACATTTTTGTAAATCATGTCACTGGAAACATCTTCCATTTTGGTAGTCTTTTAACTTCGTGTCATATACAATACCCGGGCTTCTTGACTTTAAATCTATGACTGAATACAATACATACGGAAAACAAACAATGTACGTCTCTTAACGGAATACAAGAAGCCTTGGAAAAAGGTCGAGACATGCCTCTACTAGGTTCAGGAGGCCATGATACAGAGTCAATATAACTGGACAGCTCTTTGGCACAGAAGCACGAATATTACGCTTCGTTTGTGCCGTCTACGAGTTTTATGGACGATCTACGCTCTTCAAAAGACTGGAATTATACCGAGTAACAGTAAACACTGCAGCGTCCGTTTGTTGAACCCACAGCAGCAGCGGACACGCTCCACTGAGCCCAGCTTGGTTCTCACAATCACAGGCAGCATCCGCGCATGCGCATCATTCAACGCGAGCAATAAATGCCATTTTACGACGCTGCATCAGCTGCTGAAGTTATAAAATGATACATCGGGATGCAGGAGTTACAATAGTTGTGGTCTGTTACGATATAGAATCCCTGGCGTCTTGACTGGTACGACGAGTCAAGACCAACGAAGTTCACGGTCCAGTGGATAGATAGCAGCACTACTGCCTGCTTTGCATTCGGTAGGTTCCAGGTTTAAAAATACCGGACAGGGAAATCGGTTATCCTGAGAAGCTGTTCGTGGTTTTCCGATAATATAACATAATCTTCCTGAGAAGCTGTTCGTGGTTTTCCGAGCTCCCTATAGACAGAAGATGAGGTAACAGCTTAATTTATACCACGTTGCTATGGTAATGCTGTTGAGGGATTTTTTTTAGGTCTTTAAGGGATATTTATGACTGTGTGTGCTTACTACTTTTTATTTAAAAGTTAAACACAATAAGACATAATCGAAACTCTACGTAAATGTCAGGCAGTTTGCTACAAGACAGCAAAGCAGAGAAGTCGTATTAAAAGAATCTATTTATAGCCGCGACTTGGGTTTGTCACCTCAGGGGAGTTGCAGCCTTCGGAACAAGGAGTGGCCAGTTTTATAACTAAGCTCCAAGACGACAAAAGACACGTTCTAACTTGTTTACACACGCCGTTAGATGGTCTGAAAGTCATCGTACAAGTTGACAGCGGCGATAGAAGAATCACATTGCGTAGTTCTTGTCTGTGGGATTTGGGCCACAACAACAAACGAGATCTCTTAAATTACAGACCACAGAAATGAGAATTTGGTGGTGATAACAGTGAGGCGGCATCCGACATTTCCATGGAGCAGTGACCTTGATCGTTCAGATAGACGATTCCTATGAACGCACAAGATTTGGATCAACAAATGGACTGGAGAATTTAAACGAAGACCACGGTTCGTGCTAAAGTTTGCCAATACCAAAGACGACTGTAGTAACCACGGTAACAATCTAAAACTTGTCTGCTTGTTAGTACGCGAGCCATCACGCACACACTCTACTAGGACTTGGTC